TTATCAGCACCCCTAGCGACAGCTCGGGTAGTTTTTTTCTAAAAAAAAAAAAAAAAAAAAAAAAAAAAAAAAGAACTGACAGCATGAGGCACACTGAAATCGCTCTTTTTGCCTTTTCTGTGCAGTTCTTTTCTTTTCGTTCTTTCAGTTATGCACAGTTTCTTTTTTACTTCTTCTTTCAGATCTCCCTTGACTGTAACTATTAGGTACACGGTCCCCCACGTTGATGTAGTTGACCAACAACTCCCTACGCCCCCATATGCCATAACGGCACACTCACATGCTGTGAAAAAGAGGCAGAGTAAAGGGAGAGGTGATAAAGAGGAAAGGTGGAGCAAAGGAAGAGAAAGGGAAAGCAAGTAGTTTGTTCTAAAGATAGGGAAGGAAAAGAGAAGAGTCGGGATTCAGTCAGTCTTTGATGGATGACCGAAGGGACACAAACAGCAGGGATGAGATGGGTGATGACGTGAAAGGCCTAGCTGACCATTCTCAACACAACACTTGCCACAAAGGCTGGCATTAACCATGCCCACCAAACACTCCCAACATGCGGTATGTTGGTTGCAGGCCAGGAGGAAGGAACAGATGGCATCAGAGAAGGTCATACATTCATAACAATGGTCCTGGCTGCAAAATGGGCAGAGGGTTCACACAGTCAGGAGAGAAGGGGCAGCCCTCTGCACACGTGGCAGCAGAAACCATGGCACTGTAGTGATTCTGGCAGACACAATTATGCCTGCAGCTAAGGGAATCACCATCTGAAGCCTGGAAGAGGAGAAGGTCGCAGAGTGCTTACACATTGCCCTGATGAGCAGAGAGGCCATCCTCAACATGAAAATGTGCAGGGACGGATTGCTGAGGCAAGGAAAGATCGGTGCCAACAAGGCAATTGCCAGTATCAACTGTGGCATGGATGAATATGCCTTTCTCCCACGTTTCGTGGTGGTCAGCGGCATGAACAATGGTCATGTAACAGCCAGGTCTATGTACAATGCAGCCGGAGATGTGGGACAGAGGATGAAAACACTCATCGGGCCAAGCATTGCACCGTTCCAGTCGGCATTCCTTCATGCCAACTTGTAGGACCCCGATTGTTAAGCCTCGTTCCTTAGCGTAGTTACTACCTTCCGCCTCCAGGGAGCAAGATCCACATCAAGCTGAAGGAAGGCCAATTACAAGAAAACGTGATGCGTAAAAAAAGGCCAGCGGAAGAGACGAAGACAGCCACCAGCAACAGTCAAACCACATTGATGCAATGATTCTGGAATTCACAACCTGTTTACTCCACTCAGCACGCATGCACTATCACACAAAGCCTCACACAAGAAAAGCAAGCTCCACATGATATGCGCACACTTGAAGAGTATCTGAAATGTTGAAGTTAACTTTTTACTGGACGTCTAGAATGGAACACATCCTCGGATAATTCCTAATGAGTCTACTGGAATCAAATTGCCAGCTGAAATCTGTACGGGCAAACCTATTAATGAGTTTTATTTCATTTACACTTGATGGTGTTTTGCAACACATCAATCATGCGGAGTATTTCCCACCTCGATTGATCTATGGTGTTTTGCAACATGTTGGTGATGCGGAATATTTCTCGCCTCAATTGATTTATGGCAATTTTATGCCCTACTATTGATGATGCAGATTGTTAATCACATTGTACTGAATGTTATTTTCTGGTGAGCGAAATCGATTTTTCAATGTCAGTTATCCCTTTGTGGATAATAATGCGCTTGCTATTGAGCAGGACTATCTAAACTCCCTCCATGCATCTAGACTGCCACCTCACAGACTCTGTTTATAGATTGGTCTATGAGTAATGCTTCTACCAAATTTATTACCGTCTAAATGGCTTTGGCATGACATGCGGCTCATTCTTCGTAGAAAGGTCTACGACATATTGGACGTACCTTTTATGTGCACTGGTAAGAAAGTACTAATGCCAAGAATTGACTTGAGAGACGATGATCACACAAACTGACTTCAAAGTTCAAATGGATAAGGGGGCAATTTCTTGTGCGGCTGCTTTTTTTGCTGTGACGATAAACAAGTCGCAAGGACAACCGGTCCCAGGTGCAAGGGCCGGGCAATGCAAACCAGTATTTGCAAACAACCCTATGTAATGAGTCTAATGACCTGCCAAACACGGACTGAGACACACAGCTGATTTCTGAGTTTTGCTCATGGTATGTATGCCTTACTGAGTTTCCCGATTGTTGCTGAGTTTTCTAAGTCTGTGTGGGTGAGTGCTTGCTGGTCTGCATGCCTGTCTGAGTGCCTGTCGGCTTGAGTGTGTGTGTAACCCGCAAGGGCACTTGTTTCTTCGGAAGTCCTGACGGGCCGAGACTTACCTGTGGCCGTGACATTGAGGGTTGCAGCGGGGAAAACACTCAAGTGGCGGGGAAAGAGGCCTGCAACACTTAGAGCAGCGGAAAACACTCAAGTAGCAGGTAGGCCGGTAGCACAGC